CACGAGCGCTGCATTTATACATAAATAAATTCGACAAAATGATTAACAAAGTATATAAGTATTGTAAACAAAAACATACACATTATTATATGAATAAGGAATAACACTCTTATGTCAATACCATAGAAGTTATAATCCACTGCATCTTAATATTACCCGACCAAGCGAAGACACTTCAAGATTCACTTTTTATAGATGTCAAAACCACGCGCATGCGTACTCTCGCCGCACAGAGACTAACACAAATCGAAAGTCCAAGCGTTAGCTGCATTATAAGTACATTGGCACTCGCTTATTCTAAATAGGTGTTAAATAACAAGTTTTTCTTAAACAATTATTCGATTTATAACTATATTTTAATTATTTGAACTCACATTTGATATTGGAAGTTTTGTTATTGTTATATTGAATAGTACCCGCGAGCAGATGGAGTGAGGGCCGGCGTTGCGCACGCCCGACTGACGCAATCAAGGTCAATCCACAGTAGACGCCATGTATATAGAAAAAAATAAACAAATTCTTCAAGATAGATATGATTAAATGGTCTTATCACTGTGAAAGTTAGTGTTTATGTATAGGTATGGCTCAATTTATTATGAAATTAGAAATAATTATTAGTTAAAATATATTATCCATATTTTTAAATTACGCGAGATAGAATAATATATTACGCGGGTAGTTAATTTATAAACAATACTTTATTGTAAAAATATTTGAATAAAAAGCAGAAATCTTATTTAACTTCTATGATAAAAATATTGTTTTTATTGTTTAACATTACTACAAGAGCAATTCGATGTCTCAAAACAATAAAATTTCGAATCTTAATAAACTGCTGGACCTATTTTGATGAAACTACCAATGTTGCCTGATGTGAAAGATACTTCAATAAAAATCAATTATCACAATAGATATAAACTTAATAGTAAAATAGTCCATACTCCATAGTTTTTGAGAAATATTTCGATAAACACAAAAACATACCGTATCTTCATCCTTCGTCCAAGTGTTAAGTGGGAAACGGACAGACAGACAGTATCACGGGATCTCCTGACAGACTGCAATTGTAAGTTGATGGTGTTAGTCGTGCGTACAACAATTCAGTTCACTAGTTCAATTACCTACAATCGGACAAAATTCTTTAATTTTATATAGATATGTATAATTTACTTATCACTTGATAACGACCACAAAATAATGAAAATTTACATTAAGTCACTTTTTGTAGCTATTATCTTTGTTTATAATGTTTGCTTTAATTGCTGTTTGTGGCTTTACATGTGTTCTATAATCTTCTCGTTTTTTTTTCTTGCATTATCACTACACCTTTTGCTATATCTGAAGCTATCTTGACTTAAACATAACTAGTTATTTGTAAATTTAACAAAATTATTATTATTATTCCTGCATTCTATTACTTAGTTATTACACACTTTTATATTACACACTTTTATATTACACTAGTGACTCACCCTCTCTGCGCTCGGGTTCGTCCCTACTTACGTTTTAACGTTTAGTATAGATTTCTCAGAGATGCGATATTTTCCCGCAAAAAGTACTTATTCTATATGTTGACCCGGATCATCCATATCAGCTATCATCATACCAAATTTCATCAAAATCTTTCCAGTGGGTTTTCCGTGATGCGGTAACAGACAGACAGACAAAAATTCTATAAACTATAGATTAGGCCTCTGTATCGATAAAAATGTCTATTTCAATAAGATTTTCCAAAAAATATTTATTGTACAGATTCGGCTTTGTTACAATTTTATTATATGTATGGATTATTTATTAGATACTCACCGAATAGAAAGCGATAAAGATGGCTGCCTCGCGCATCTAATACCACTACTCAGTCCCCAACGCTTAACTTGTTCAATCCCCACTAGGTCATGTTCCTTAACGTTGACGGTTTAATTTTAGTCCGTTTGTTTCTCGTACTACTTTTTCTTAAAAGCGAGTTCCTCAGATTAGTCCACTTATCGCTTGTCGCTGGTACTATTGATGGGTACTAACAAATCACTTTCTTTATAACATGTTTTACTGCATAATCTTCTTTTAATGACTTCAATAAGGTAGCGACGATTTGAACCGATTAATCGAAAATTCTGAGTGGCTCAGAGGCTTGAGTTGATTCCGGTTTCGGCATATATGAAATATGTTTTACGCAAAATATATGGACTACTCCATATCAAGCAATCAAAAATTATTTGTTGAGTAACCGTCGAAAGCTTTGCAAATTTGTTAGAAAGTAAGCATGTTTGGTTGCCATTGACCAGCAGTTTCAGGAACAAGGCCTAATAGGCAGCGTAATTAATATATGGGAGACTATCGACTCACCTTCGCTCGGGTTCCTAGTTTGATTCCCCTTACAAACTGTCATCCCCATTTTCACTCCCTTAAGGGATTATTTCCGGAATAAAAAGTATCCTATGTCCTTTCCAGGGTCTCACACTATCTTTTTACTAAATTTCATCTAAATCAGTTCAGTAGATCCAGATATTACCCCCTACAACGTCCCAAACTCACAAACTTTACCTCTCTATAATATTAGTATAGATTGATTAGCGTAACGTATATCGGCGCAATAACAAATGATTAAATACATTACAAGTATCATAATGGTGAAGAAAATTACCGACAAAAAAATATTCGCAAAAATAAAATAATATTGCCGTAAATGCCGACTTATAACTCAAATGACAGAAAAAAAATATTAATTTTAAGTGCATGAGTTTCCTGACGATACATTCAACCACTCAAAAGACTTTATTGACTCATAAACAGAAGTACTTACTTAAAATATTAAGTTCTCTTATGTCCGATTTCACCAACATCACCTAAGTTTAAGGGATCCCCTAAGCATGGTTAGGGGGCTGTTAGGGGACAGTTTCTGTTTCACCGATAGTTAGGGGTCACCTAAATGTTAACAGGCCCCCTAAATTTAGGTGCTCGAAATATGGGCTTAAAGACGATGGTAAAACGAAATTTAATTTAGGGGCTAGTTTAGGGGAATTTTAAGCTAGAGATCCCATACGTAGGTGGTAGCTTATGGGTTGTTGGTGAAATCGGGCATTAGAGTTTCATATGTTCAATGATCAGCCACTTACCTATTTAAGTGTTTTTTTTTTATTATCGCATTTGCGTCAATAATGCACAGAACTAATACACAATTGGCCCAACGGTCGGCTTATCTCGCATGGCATTGTCGCCACTTGTATGGTTATCTGAGCTTGGGAATAAACTGATGAAGTAGTTCGCCTATTATTTTTTCTTTTTTAAATGTTTCACAATAATACTACTAATCTTTTCTATTATTTATCGTTTAGCCTTAAAGTCTGGACAACTCTTTTGTCCCTTACCGTACCCTTACCGTTTCATACTAATAATGAGTTGGGCCCAGAGGTTTAAGTGTAGTAAATAAAAAAAAATGCAAATTATGAAGAAATCTGTGTCCGTGGCAACTGGTAGGTAACTGATTGTGTGGTGTGAGCTAACGACGGCTGATAGTCGATGAAGAAAACATGTTATACCGAACCCATGTAGCGTGGGGCCAGGACAAGCAGAAATATGTTATGGCAAGCCACAAAATTTAAGCAGATTGAGACACAACAACGTTTAACGGGATACCAACCGCTAGTTAATTTATTACTAAGAATATAATTGTAAGATATCTAAATAATAAAATCGTATCTTACCAAGAGATCTTTCTTAGTAAATCTTTTCAAGAACAACGTAGCTATAATTATCTATACATAATATAATAAAATTCTAGCTAAGTCGAATCTGTACTTTGAATATTTTTTGGAAAATCTTACTGAAATAAACATTATAATCGATACAGAGGCCAAATCTATAGTTTTAAGAATTTTTGCCTGTATGTCTGTATGTCTGTTACCGCATCACAGACAAAACCAATGGAGGGATTTTGATGAAATTTGGTATGATGATAGCTGGTAATCCGGGTCAACATATAGGATACTTTTTATCGCGGGACAATATCTCATTTCTGAGAAAAAATACAAAAACTGCATTGTAAGAGTATACTAATATGTAAAACCTAAGAATTTGGTTTTTAGTCATCTGAACGCGGGCGAAGCCGCGGGCAATGCGAGTAGAAAATAAATTATTAGGTAAACTATAATAAATTACTCGTATTACGACTTCACGGTAATTTCAAGTATTAATTTCCACTTGTTAAAGGTTAATTTAAATATCGTTATATAGAAACATATTATGTTCGGACGTAATATTGGTTCCATTCCCGTATACCTATAATTACTTAGGGATGGCGTCGTCTACTACAAATCTATACATACTTATAATAAAATTGTAACTAAGCCGAATCTGCACATTAAATATTTTTTGGAAAATCTTATTGAAATAGACAAGATTATCGATACAGAGGCCGAATCTATAGTTTTCAGAATTTTTGTCTGTCTGTCTGTTACCGCATCACGGGAAACCCACTGGAGGGATTTTGATGAAATTTGGTATGATGATAGCTGATATGGATGATCCGGGTCAACATATATCTCTACCGCGCGAGCAGCGCGCGCGCAATGACGCCCGTAACAATAGCTCCGTATAAATACTTTTAAAAAGCGATAATATCGAAGTAAGATCGTAGTGCTGTTTAAATATAGCATAATTAGTGCATCTCCGTTAAAGTGTGTATAAAAACAAGTGCATTCTCAAGAAAGATAAACGAAGTACATATATTTATATCGTGATGAATAATAAGAGAAAACGGTAATAGTGCTGCAATTGTAAAATTGGGAGGTACTCTAAAAACGATTATCATCATTATACCGTCTCATATTGATCGCTTCACTCAACATAAGAACCAGTATTTCGCTACAAACGTTAGTAACAAATTGGCGCAGTGCGTCGAGCTCTCGATCTACTATCCGGCAGACCCGAGATCGATCCCAACTAGTCGAAGTAAATTTAAAATTTTTCTACAAATTTTTTAAAACCAAATAAAATATATAATCATGTCATCTAAGAGTAAATTTGAATGTTGCCATCGGCTCCCAAGTTCAACAGAAGTAATATTGTGTCGTTCATGCAAAAAGCGATATCATTACAACTGTGTTTCGACATCCAAAACATCCTATGCCGAGCTTACCGAGAACTATAAGAGTACATGGCTTTGTCCTATCTGTGCCAGACCAAAGAGCGACAACACAAATACACCTATTAGAGGCTCACTATCTAACTCAGCTTTGGAGGAATATGCTGATCAAAGTTGCAACGTTACTCGCCGTATAAAAGACAGCGAACGAAAGATTATGGGACCTACTACAGCTGAAATAGATCTTGATGACGTTCGGTCTATTGTTAGAGAAGAGATGAAATCGTTGCTAGACGTGTTTAAGAAAAGTATATTGGATGAATTTACCTCAAAAACTAATGAAGTTCTGGCTTCAATCAACTTCCTTGAAGACCAATATGAAACCATTAAAAAAGAACTTTCAGCCAAAAACGACGAGATAAAATTGTTACAGGCTAATAATAATAATTTAAAGACCACAGTTAGTGACCTTCAAGCTAGACTTAATCTACTCGAAAATCAATCTAGAGCCAGTAACCTAGAAATTCAATGTATTCCTGAGCATCGATCCGAAAATATTGTATCGACAGTAAAACAACTGGCCGCTTCCGTTAAATGTAACATTGCTGACACTGATATTCAGAGCTGCAGCAGAATAATGAAATTTAACAAGGAAAGTCCCCGACCACGCTCTGTACTAGTCAAATTCAGTAGCCCAAGGATTAGGGATACCTTCCTTGCAGCGACTATAACTTTTAATAAACAAGCAAAATGCAACGAGGATAAACTAAATACCAGCCATTTGGGAATCGGAGGAAAAAAATATCCTATATACGTTGCTGAACACCTGCCACCAGCCACCAAGGCATTACATGCAGAAGCGCGTATCAAAGCAAAGGAATTGAAATATGAATTCGTGTGGATCAAGAACGGTCGTGTATTTATGCGGAAAAACAAATCATCGGACTATAAACTTATTAAAAATTCGGAATCTCTTTTAAATTTGTCGTAGTTTATTATATTTTATAAAATTATAAACATGTGGTTGTATAGTATTTCACGTTAAATTCGATTCATTAAAGTGTTATTATCAAAATGTCCGAGGTCTTCGCTCTAGCTTAACAGATGTTAATAATGAAGTCCTTAATTCAAACTATGATATAATTGTTTTAACGGAGACTTGGCTTAACGACAGTGTATATGATGCCGAGATCTTTGACGACAGATACCACGTATATAGACGCGATCGTGAATCATCTTCCCTATCTAATCATAAGAAAGACGGTGGTGGAGTTTTAATAGCAGTAAAAAAGGGCGGTATCAACTCGAGTAGACAAATTAGATGGGAAAGTCTTTGTGAAGACTTATGGGTTACAATTGAACTTATCACAGGTAATGTTACGGAATGTTTACATGTGTGCGCAGTATATATCCCGCCGCCAGTTGATTGTAACACATTGGAAACCTTCATTAATAATACCACTGATACAATAAATAATAACAACCTAGGCACGGCTAATAACTCGATTTTACTGATTGGTGACTTCAACATGAGTTCTATCACATGGACAAATCAACCCGCCATTAGTGGTAAGCATGCATCCCCAAGTAACTATGATAGTTGTCTTCTTAAAAGTAACTTAATAGATTTTTTCGCTTTGCACGATCTGAATCAATACAACACTAACAAAAATACAAGCGGAAAAATTTTAGACCTAGTCTTGTCTAATATAAACATCAATGTATTTGAAAGTCAGTTTCCGATACGCAAAGTAGATATTTTACATCCACCATTAGAATTTTTCATTAAAATTAATCTAACAAATAATTTCCACACGACTAAAAATAAATGTTTCTATAATTTTAAAAGAGCCGATTTTGATTCCATTATAGCATACCTAAATGATATTGATTGGCTACATACTTTAGGTGTACTTAATAATGTAAATGATATGATATCTAAATTCTACGAAATTCTGCAGGTAGCAATAGATAAATTCGTGCCCAGATCGTCCAAAACGTCAAAATCTTATCCTATCTGGTTTACCCCCGCTCTAATTAAACTTATAAAGCAAAAACACAAATGTCATAATAAAATTAAAATTTATAATAATCCACTAGATAAAATTGAACTATCTTATTTGAGGAAGGATTGCGATAAACTCATAAAACAATGTTACTATCATTATATTCTACACATCGAGGAAGCCATTAGCAATAATCCGAAATATTTCTGGTCACATATGAAAAACATGCGTCGTAAAGGTTCTAATTATCCTAATAAAATGTCTATGTATGATCGCGAGGCAAACAGTAGGCAAGAAATATGTGATTTGTTTGCTAGTCACTTCTCATCTGTTTTTATTAAAGATGATAATATTAATAACAATCCTAATATACAGCTAGTACCTAAACCCAAAAATTATATAGGCAATACACACTTTTCCGAACAAAAAATTAAAAATAGGTTAAAAAGACTGGATATATCAAAGAGTGCTGGTCCAGACGGTATTCCTCCTATATTTTTACATAGGTGTGCAAACTTGTTATCCCTTCCGTTGGCTATTATATTTAACACCTCCTTAAACAGTGGCATTTTTCCCGAAAAGTGGAAAGAAGCGCGAATTGTACCAATTTTTAAAAGTGAAAATCCTATGAGTGTCATTAATTACAGACCTATTTCTATATTATCTACTATGTCAAAGGTCTTCGAGAGTTTAGTCTATGAATCATTTTTCAAAAATCTAGGACGGCGTATATGCTGGCAGCAACATGGATTTTTGTCTGGTAGGTCTACTGTCACAAATCTATTCTTATACGTCACTGATTTAATTGAGAATGTTGATAATAAATTACAAGTGGATGCCATATACACAGACTTCTCTAAGGCCTTTGACAAAGTAAATCACGCTTTTCTTATTAATAAATTGAGATCATTTGGTATAAATGGGACACTATTAAACTGGTGTGCATCATACCTTCAAAGTAGGTCTTCAACCGTGGTGATAGATGGGTACTCATCGCAGCCATATATTGCCTATTCCGGCGTACCCCAAGGCTCGAATTTAGGACCAGTGTTTTTTAACATCTTTATAAACGACATTGTTTCCATATTTCAACATTCGAAGGTCTATCTATTTGCTGACGATCTCAAGATAGTTAAAACTATTAGAAATAACTCTGACAGTGAACTATTACAAAAAGATCTCAATCGCCTTGTACAATGGTGTAAAAATAACCAAATGTTTCTCAATGCCAAAAAATGTCACCTTATCAGGTTCACTAGGAAACAAAACTACATACATAGCCAATATTATATTGAAACCGAAAAACTGACTGTAGTTCGAACGATACGTGATTTAGGCGTTATACTTGATAGCGAATTAAAATTCACCGACCATATCGATAGCATAGTTACCTCAGCTACGAAGTCACTGGGTTTTGTATTGAGGAACTCCAGAGAGTTCAGACAGTCATCAACTACAATCAAACTTTTTAGTAGTCTGGTTCGTAGCAAACTAGAATATTGTAGTCAAATCTGGAATCCTCACTACAAAATCCATAGTATCAGAATTGAAAGAATACAAAAGCGACTGCTACGTCATTTGGCATACCGTTCGAACAGCAGCCTAACTAATAATTCCTACGGTAAACAGTTGGTACAATATAACATCACATCACTACAATCGCGTAGAAATATCTCAGACATGTTGTTCCTGTACAAAACACTTAATAACAGCATAGATAGTCCAGCAATTGTCCAATTATTTAATTTTAATGTGCCATCAAGACTGCCTAGAAAACCGCAAGCCTTATTTAATGTAGCCTTACATAAATCTAACTTGGGAAAGTATTCCCCTTTAGCCAGACTAGCACGCAGTTATAATAATCTGTCCTCAAAGATTTCTGACCTCGATATTGCTTACGATAGTTTGTTCGCTTTCAAACGAAAATTAGTTAATTTTTTTCAAAATAATAAATAAATAAATTATAATATAACTTATAAGTAAAACATTTGAATTAATTTGTTGTCTAAAATGTGTTTAAAAATTTAATGTATAATAATGAAAATATTTATTATGTTGAATAATTATATTTCTTTTAAATTATTAATATCAATTTTCTCATATTATTATGTAATCCAATTTAATTTTTAAATGTTTTATCCCTCTATTTATAAAAATCAATGCATGTTGTGATTACCTTTAAAAAGAAATACAATTATACTATGATCAATTTATTATGTAAATTATTATCTTTGTATTACTGTTGTCATTTCTGTTGGTAATCCTAATAAATAAATAAATAAATAAATAAATAAATAAATATAGGATCCCCCCCCCCCAACGTGCGTTCACCTTGTCGTGGTGGGGGGGCTCAGTAGTGCCCAGCAATATAGCCGGGCGCGAAGCCAAGAAACGCACAGGGAGGTGGCCCTCTTCGGTGGGCGGTGTACCATGCGGGTTGTTCCTGGTACTTCTCTGATAGCAGAGTGGACCTTGGAGCAACCCCATGGTTGTAGGGGTCTGCTTCGGCAGACCTGCCGTCGGGGTGTCGTGGTTGAATGCGTAAGCGATCCTGCGACGCCCCATTAAGACGGGGGAAGGTTTTGTTGGGTTTTAGTGGGTAGTACTGGCTTTATTACGCCGGTGAGGCCCACACCTCGTGCGCAAATGCATTTCCCAACTATAAAAAAAAGGGTCAACATATAGGATACTTTTTATTGCGGGAAAATGACTAATTTCTGAGAAAAAATACAAAAACTGCAATGATTGTTATAAACGAACGAAAGATAATGTTTCTTACAAAAGAAATGTAACATGTTACATGAAGAATCAATAATAATTGTTGATAGTTGAACATTTACTCATATTTTTATTTAAAAAACTAGCGACTCACCTTCGCTTCGCCCGGGTTCGTCCCTAGGTACGTTTTCATTATTTTGAACGGCACCTTAATTCTTATTCTAAAATAAAAGTAGCCAAGTTACTCCTTATAACATCAGCTATCTGCCAATGGAAGTCCTGTCAAAATCGGCCCAGCCGTTTCGGAGATTAGCCAGAAGAAACAGACAGATCCACAGATATTTTTTTTTATTGTGTTTTTCTTATAAGTACCTACGGTATACAATTTCATATGCATTTAGTATAAAGCTGTTATTTTATAATTACAAACAGACACTTGATTTTTATTTTTCTTATAGAAAATAGATAGACAAAGTTAATCTAAATCGTAAACACGAAATAATATATACAAGAATTGATATTATAAGCTGAGATATTGTGTACAGCTGAGCCTAGTTGTTGCTTTATCTGAAAAACTGTTATCGCTGACCGACCCTTAGAGATAAATTAAAATATTGTACTAGAAAATTGTACGTCTTAAAAATGCTTACACAAAAGTCCGCGATAGCATACCTATGTCTATCTCTTAAGGTACGCTAACAATAACTATTTTTATCTATATAAAACGTACCTAGGGACAAAACCGAGCGAAGCGAGAGTTCTGTCGCTAGTCCCATATCTATACGAGTAGACATTATAAATGCAGAAGTTGGGATGGAAGGATATTTGTTACTCAATTACGCCAGAACGGCTGAACAAACCTGGATGAAATTAGGCACAGAGCTAGATTGTCTTAAATAACACATAAATTATTTTTTTATCCCGGAAAAAATTACGATTCCCCTGGGATAGGTTTGTTTTTGTTTTTTATTAATCAAGGGATCGACTATTTATTTTATATTATATATTTATAGATACTAACAATTAAAACGTGCCTAGTTAGGGGTCGTCCATTAATCACGTGAGGCTCGAAAGGGGAGGAGGAGGTTCGGATAAAATCACGAAACATCACAAGGGGGGAGGGGGTGTAGTGAGATATCATGTGTTTTTATTTGTTCGTTGAACTTCATTGTTCGTCGTTCTTTCGTTGAATTCAGAACGCTGGAGAAGTTCTCACAGAAGTATGGACTAATGTGGTTATGACGTTGCAGCAGAGTACGCCGAGCCCGATGACAGTACTGAAAGCTTCATACCAGACCTGCCTTTTCCGCAGTGATATAGCGAGCATGTGCGAGAGAGCTAGTATTTACTTCAGGTACTGCAACTTTATTGTCTGTCTGGACGTTTTTATCATGATGCATAATTTTCTAAAATTAAAAAACAAGCCTTCAAGCTAAGATGAAGGTCAAGAGTGAGCCCATTTTTAATTTAAAAAAATGACATTATACCTGTATTCGAAGTAATAATTTTGAACTAAAAAAAAATACTTTGTACCAAAAAAAAATACACGTGTTATTGGATAGGAGGGAGGATAAATTATGAAACCTCACCAGGTATCCCCAGGGGAAATCACGTGATTAATGAGCGACCCTTTATTAATACGTGGACGACCTATAATAATACTTGGCTACGATGATATTTCACTAAAGTATAGAGTGTAGTTGTGGTTATAATATATATGTATTTATATATATTTAACTGCCTCGATGGTGTAGTGGCTAGCATGTACGGCTGCACACCCGGAGGTCCTGGGTTCGAGTCCCGGGTCGGGCCAAGTTTAGTTATTGAGTCTTTCTGTATAGTAAGTCTTAGTAACAGCCCGGAGTTGGGAAGTTGGCGGTGTTTTACCCCCGTGCCTCGGAGAGCACGTAAAGCCGTCGGTCCTGCGCCTTAACTCTCACCGGTCGTGTCGAGCAGTCGTCCCACCGGAGTATGAGAGTGACAGGAATAGAGAGTGCACTTGTGTCTGCGCGTACACTTGTGCACTATAATATCTCCTGCGCAGTTGGCTAGTCTCAATGAGATTGGCCGCCGTGGCCGAAATCGGTCAGGAGAACATCACATATATGTATTACAAATTTCTAAGTTAACTAATGAGTTTTAGAGAAAGCAAATATTAGGTATAGTGCGTAATATAATTTTATTTTCTTGATCTTCCAAAAACTATACATATATATAAAGGTGTTCTTTGGTGCTTAGTTATTTAGGACTTAGTGCTAATACACCTTAATTGCAACATTAAGATTCGGGAAAGCCCCGGAAAATTATAACGTTGTCTTAAGCTGTTTTATTTCTGTTTGCTATAAATAAAATACATTTGTACTAAAAGTTTTATTTGCTTTAATACTTTTTAAATATTATATAAATATTGTAACTTCTATATATTTAAAAGTTCATGCATGAAGAAATTAATTCTAAATATGGGTCTAATATGGCGAGAAATGCACATAAATGGAAGTTGATTAACAAACATCTATATCATTTATGTAAATAGGGCGAAGACAAAAGAATTCAGTGCCTTCTTCTCCTTTGTTTGTCAACTGTTTTTTTTTTTAATGTTATTGACGACAACGATTGACAAGATTAATAATTTCTGGGAACAGTTATTTTTTTTATGTAGATAGGGAAATTTTATTCATATACATGTTTTCAAATTTTCAGTAATAATTACTATCGAATTTCAACCATTACAAGAACAAAAGTTATAATAATAATAATATGTTGGGACATTAACACACACCACCATCTAGTTCCATGGTAAGTGATGAGACTTGTGTTATAGATCTCAGATAGTTGATACACTACACATATATAACTTTAAATACATATTATTAATATAGGCACGGCAGGCGACTGGAGTACAAACATTCGTGCTCATCACACAAATGAATGCCCTAACGGGACTCGAACCCGCGACCACTGACACAGCCAGTAGGGTCACTACAAACTGAGCCAATCGTGTCGTCAAAATTAATGAGTTGCACAGCATTAGAACTCCACTGTTTCTGAAATACCTGTTTAGTAGTTAGCCGTGACAAGGTGACTGGCAGACATTCCACGGTCTTTGAAGTAGCTGGAAGTTTCATTAACTTACATAACTTATTACACTTTCTCTCAAGTCTCTAGCTCTACAGTCGGTGAAACCACGCCAATTAACGTTGGTTATATCCGCTATAAGGAAGAGAGGATCACACAAACCAATACAAAATTTATATATAAAGGTACGAGTATACTATAATAAAATTATAACGAAGGATAACTCATCTTTTTATGAACTTTTTTGTCTTAGTTTTGATTTATGATAAATATATTTTCATGGTAAAGGGCGTAAATAAATTATAAAATTAAAAATAATACATTAACCTAAGAAAGGAATATTTTCTTTTATCTAATGATTTTATTCATATACCTACTCGTGTTTGCACAATTTTTTTGAGTTCAATTATATATGTAAAAAATATTGACACTTCATCACTGTGACGAAAATTAAGAAATGTGGACCAAAACTATATCTTTGTAGGTGTATAATTTTTATCAAATGTTTGCCTTACGAATCAGATAAAATCTTCAAAGGTTGTTTTTAATACTTTTATCTCGGCTATGACACCATAGCAGTTTCCTTGATACTCATTTTACTTTTTTTATATTTCATAATAAGAGTATTGTGAACGATTGTCAGTGAATGAGTCTGTATGTTTGTTACTTCATAAGTTATAACAGTTTAACGGATTTGTGATTTTTTTAACGGTAGGAAATGCATTCACGTATACGACCTGCATAGAAACACACTCAACAACGATGTCCCGATGGCAAGCCTGGATCGGCAGACCACAACAACTGTGGGGTTGCTCCAATAGTCCACTCTGTTCTCTCTTCTCAATCAGAGAAGTATCTGGAGGAGCCCGTATATTGCCGTGTATACCGCTCATCGAGGTGGGCCGCCTCCCAGTGTGTTTCTTGGCTTCGCGATCAGCTGGACTACCGGACGCTTAATGAGCTATGAACATAATAGCTGTAAGGCATTCAAAACATCCAGAACCAAAAGCCAAAATAAATTTGCTAAAAAATCCAAAGAATACTTTTATTTAAAAGCTACTTACCTCAGCTTACAGCAGCTCTGAAGTAAGTAAATATTTAAATACACATGTTACTCCAGGTCAAAGTTTATCATTGTACTTAAATTTCATCCATTCAGTCGTTTCAACGTGCAGGAGTAACAAATATAACCAATACAGATCTTCGCGTTTATAATAATAGTTTATTGATTGAAATTTAAATCTATTCAGTTCGACTCTTATAAGCACTTTTACATCGTAACTTAAAAATAGAGTATTTTTTTTTAATTTTTATAAAAAAACAAATATTTTAAAAAAATTAAAAAAAATTTTGGAAATAAAAATCAACAAATATTGTCAGGTACTTTATTGCCATTTTTGAATTTTTAAATAATATTTGTAAAATAGTGGGTAGGCACTGTCTGTAACAAGTATTATGTGTTTGAGACGTCTATAACCTTAGTCTATCCCGTGACCATGATAGCTGTAAAGCAATCGAAACGTCGGGAACCAAAAATGAAAATAAATCTATGAAAAATTAAGCAATCGATACATAAAACTAAGTTAAAATCTGTTTAGTACTTTTTGCATGAAGAGCGTTCAGGTTAAATGATTTTAATATTGCATCCATCCCAAATACGTAACCGAAAAAAATCTTTAAATGTCTAATAAAACGTTACTAATTGTGCTTAAATTAAATTAATAACATATCCATATTCTGGCCAAAAAAACAATCAAACCCGTCAGCAGTGAAACGTGTTTCTTTTCCACAAAAATTATTGTCAATATCTCGAGTATCACATAATTTGAAAATATCTTCAAAAACTAGTTCCGATCAAAGGAGTCGCAAAGCAAGGGATAGGTCTATAATCTCGTGGTCCGGGATGCTGACTGAGGCGCAATAAATCTCTGCAGATAATCCTCGCCGAGCTGACTCACCACCGCTTTGTATGACGTATCTATTGATGCTGGCCGTTTGTTTTGTTAAATCTAGTTATTGTTACTTATTCACATACACTAGATTTAGACCATAAGTTTTTCAATAATAATCGAATTAAAATTTCAGAAAAGCATATATTATGTATGACCAGAATTTACCTACATCTATATCTATACTCCATGCATATAGATAAATAAAATTGAAATTTTTGTTTGTAATGTCAAAATTCGTTTTACTAAAACCAATATGAAATTATAAACGGTACTTATAAGATTATACACCATTTTTAAAAAAATTGTCTGTCTGTCTGTCTGTTTGTTCCCGATAATCTCTGAAACGGCTGGACTGATTTTGACGCGACTTTCACTGGAAGATAGCTGATGTTATAGGGAGTCAAAGTAGCATAGGCTACTTTTATTTCAGAAAAATTAGGGTTCCGCTCAAAAAAATAAACTATATAAAAAACTAACTGTATTTTTTTTATCATAAGACAAACAAAGGAGAAAAAGGTACCTACCGATGATGTTGTTATAAAATAACCTCATTGGTACCCAATGGTAATAATTATTTTATCTTTGCCGATTAATACATGAGTATATAATATGATACGAGTGTATAATATGATAATTTTCACTCGAGTGAGACGAAGCCTCCTTTGAGTTGTGTTGGACCTGTATATACATATGTCTGATCCTATGTTCCCTTGTAATTATTAAACGACTTAACTGATTAGTCGTTAGAGTCGTCTTGATAACGCGAGTCATTCGGTATATAGATGTAAATTCAAAATTCAAAATGATGGATCTTAAGCAAAAACTTGCGTGTCTGCATTTTTTTAGTCCGAATCAATCGTATTGCTCAAAAACCTGTATCAAAATATAGGTTTGTAAGAGGCGATTACAAAAATATATACAACTTATAAAACCCGACTGCTTAAAAAGCTAGCGAGTAAGTATTATGCAGTCGGAGACATATGTACATATGTATAATCTATATTTATGTACATTATACATATGTACATATGTCTGGATTTAGATGAAATTTGGTAAGAAGATAGTTTGAGACCCTGGCAAGAACATAGGATACTTTTTATCTCGGAAATCATCCCTTAAGGGGGTGAAAATGGGGATGAAAGTTTGTATCGGGAATCAAGCTAGGGACGAACCGAGAAAAAGCGAGAGTGAGTCGCTAGTAGTGATATATTTACAAAATAAAAATAAATACAGCAATGGCAATAATATATTTTTATTTAATTAGTCTATAGTGTCTAGGAAAGTAAGTGAACTGAACTAAACTAACAAAGATATTGGCTAGTATTTTTGAAGGTTTCCAAAGTATTTCCTCTCTACTTAAAACCTCAATTTAATGATACATTATTTAAAAAAAAAATTCAGCCAAAATCAATACTAATATTATAAATGTGAAATTGTGTTTGTTTGTTTGTTTGTCCTTTCACGTCAAAACGGAGTGATGGACTGGCTTGATTTTTTGTGTGGAGATATTTAGATGGCTGGAGAGTAACATAGACTACTTTTTACCGCGAAGATTATCTCATTCCCACGGAAAACACGTTATTATACAGCCCAAAAAATATTTATGATCAGAATAACTTGAAACTTGGTATTATCGCTCTTCAATATAATTAAATAAATACGTGCTTTAGCACATTATAATATTATGTTTTAAGACTAAATAAGCAGAAAATACAGAATTCTTCAGGAAAACATCATAACTGATTCTGTCGAATCGTCCTTAGAAATTTACATGGCTAATGCTGGCTAAACCTTAAGAGATACATCAAAACAATGTAAAAGAAAATTGTAGATCTTAAAAAAGCTTACAGAAAAATCTGCAGGATAAGTCTTTCTCCTAAGATATACTCTCAATAACTATTTATATCTATTTGTATAACAAAGTGAGGCTAAGTTGCTAGTTTTAAACAAAGCTATCTTTTCGGTTTTTTTTTGCGTCGGGAAGCATAAGGCAAAAATAAAAAAAACCGCGAAAAAATCTACAACCAATAGTTTTGTTTGCTAATGTAGATGCCTAATATAAATAGGACACAAGAAAACGACATGCTAACTCACAAACATGTCACTGCTGCGATGCGCTCATGTCGGCGCCGACAATATTTTGTGTTTAATACTAAAACACTTAAACAAATGCACTTTAGTCGGTTAATACGAACAAATAAAGCTCAATATTTTTCAACGGGCACAAGTTTAAATATTAATATTTGGGACGCGGTCCCTAGAGGAGTGAGTGATATTTTTGAATTGGGGAAGTGATAGGGAGTCTAAATATGTAAAAAATATTTTAAGAAAATGACGGGGTCAAAATTTGCAGAGCTGTGCTACGCTTTGCTCCCACCGTAGCCTTCTCGTTAGGTTTTGTTTTTATTTTTAACACTACTATCATTTGTGTTTTATGCTATTTTAAATTCGGTGACATATCCGACTCTAAAATTATAGGTGTCGGACACTATCCGAACAATAGGGAGGCATAATAATGTATGGTATTGCTGTAATTTTAAATCGTCATAACTTCTGTCTTTTTTTCTGTCCCCTATCCAAAAATATAACCCACTACTCTAGTGCTCGTATTCTATATTCAATACGTCAATCCGTCCAATGTTCATTGCGTCCTCTTCAATCCTTAAATAACTCAAGCCATCAAAGATGTTCGAGAACCACCCCAATTAAATTTGTATTCAAATCAAGTGTTGTTTTGAGTTTATGAGTTAGAATACTTCATACACAAACAAACAGACCTACATAGGTAGGCGTCAAACTCATATCCATCCTCGTTTTTAGTCTAATTGACTATTAGATCATATCAGCTACGAAAGTCACATATTTTGCGGAATTCTTATACGCTACTTTTCTTATAACGAGAACGATACTTTGCGAAGCCTTAATTAAAGCTATCAGTTAGTACATATTTCATACTTAAA